TCGTTTGTGACATTCTTTAACTGAGTGTGCTGCACAAAGACATCCTCATGTTCCAGTTGGTATGATATTTGAGACATCGCATTATAATTCTGTAATTCTGTAATTCACAAAGTTGAGAAAAACCAATCGACAGCCTACGGCTATTTTTACTCTTCTTGGGGCTTATCAGGTAGGCGCAGTCCCCGAGGTTCTATCAACCATATCATAATTGAGGGATTTATTTGAGATTCTTATGAAAACAAATATGATTTGCAGATAAGTGTATTAATCGAAATCTAATCCAATTTAGCGAAGCACAATTTGAGTTCAATTATAACACAATGTTAGGGAAACTCGAGGACTGTACCTACCTGATGGCCCCAGAAACAGTGAAACCGGTCGTGGGTTGTCGAAGAGTTTTTAGTAACCTTGTGAGTAGCTTGTTTTATGATAATATCGCTGTTATGGTATTTATGCTATCGTGTTTTAGCCAGACGTTTGATCTGACCAAGTGTTTTCGTGTTTTTTATACAGACCATACCCTTATGTTTGAGATCTGCAACGATGACATGAAAGTGGTATTGAATTCATCTCTATCCCCACTGAGTATTGTCTACAATATAGCTACAGACCTTCAGCATTCAAGACAGCGCTCTACAGCAAACCAACTTTGAGCTCCACCAGTTCAAAGATAGTGTTTGATGTTTTATGGTTATCAGCATTATTTCAGGTAATTTATCCCAAAGTATCAAAAACTGAAGCATTCGTACTTCCAGGGGGCAGTGTGTGTTTACCCATTTTAATGCCCCTTGGCTCGAAAGAAAGTGAACTCGGTTATATTCCGTTACTAGCTGCCACTTCCAAACACAACATTAATGAGCCCTGTTTTAGAATTTGCTCTTCGAAATTTCAGTAGAAATTCTATCCTTTAAGCTTACGTTTGCGACCCAAGAGGTGCTTTGGCAATTTTGCATCTCTGTTTGCAGTCATTACCAGAAAATCCCACGTGTGTATTAAAGTCCTGGTCACTTTGCTTTTTGGTAGAAAACTATACCATTTTGCCAGAGATGGCTGATCAGCAATTATGATTCACACGGAACATCACACCGCACATTGAGTTATCAAGCAAAGTCGGCCATGTAAACTAGTTGCAAGTTACCGCGCTCATCAGCTAAAATCTGTCGTGTGACAGTGTTCAACCACCACACGAAAAGTTACGAGTTCAAGTCTCTCCGAAGGCTTGCCAAATAAAGATGAATGCAAAATACATAAAACACAAGTATATCACTTTGTGTGTCAGGCATGGACTAAATTTACCCGCAGATGTAAGTCCCACGTGAAAGTAAGATAAAGATTTACGTAAAATTAATAAACCGCCTAGTTATAGTCTAAATAGCACGAACATCTTACTCGATGGTGCTCAAGAGCAGAAAATACTAGGTTGCAATGCTCAGTCCTGGCGTAAAAAAACTTACGACCAGGCTTTTTAAATTATTCATCCAGTTTTCTTGAAATTCAGTCGTTTCTGCAGTAATATGTACTTTGGAATGTCTCTTATCTGTATTCGAAATGTGGCCACGAACCATTAAATATAACTAACCTGAGGGCTATTAATATCAATTAGTTTGCTGAAGCTTTTACGATATTTTGTATGCTGAACTTCATTTCACTTTATTTAAACATTGTGTGGGCGGTCGAGTTAAACACAATCAGTCGAAGTGTCCGCCAGGGTAGCTGATATCATGTCGTGGCAGCGAAGCTGAAACATAGAAAACGGCCACAAGTATCACGCTGGTTAAATGTTTTGGCCCGTGGCCAAGCGTAAGTTTTGTCAAAACAGATGTTTGCAGTTTTATTCATTCGCTAAGTCTATACACTCAATCGGCTGGAGATCCGGGCTGACCTACCACTTTTGTGAAACAAAACCGAACCCAGATCTTGTTGATTTGAGAAGCTGGATTCACTGAGATGTCATTCGGATTGTTCGAACTAACGTCTAGTCATGGTAGGCAGTGACGAAGCTGATTTATCGAATGCTTCGGTTTCTCACTGCGATCATTTGTACTGCTAGTTTACTCACTGCGCAAGAAGAGGTTGCGAATTTCGGTGTGACTGTATCAGAAGTTGGAGACAGTTCTTGCTATCACATAATAGTCAGGGGCTCTCAGATAACGCACACGGAGGGAAAACTAGAACTATCCGGGTCAAATGGCTCTGCGTTCCTTGTCCCTTAGACAGGAAACTCCTGTAATTTGGGGGTAAGTGAAAGAGCCATATCAATACTAGTCATCAAGAGAACTTCCGTATGTATGGACCACACGAACTCAAATGCGCCGTACAATGTTGTTTTTAGAATTTTATTATCCCTTTAGATCCAAATACGTTTCGAACCTACTTGCTGATCAAAAACTGCACTGCGTGAATCTAATCCTCTTGTGTGCCCCAGGAAAATTATCGATTCCTCTGCTTCACTGCTTTCCTAAAGTTCCCAAAAATTGAGTGCTTTAGGAGCAAATTGGAACAATGAGCTCGCGTCTCGGTGAAAAATGACGATCTTGGCTGCTTGGCAGTACTCTTCGTCTTTAGGTGACAGTATCAGTAAACCAACAGCCAACCTGGGTACAGTAACAGAAATTTTGTTCTCATTGTAGGGATCCGTTTCTTGCTATGTCCTGTAAAGTGCCCACCCCAGATGTAAACATGCTACCTAGCCGAGAATTCACGAAGTATCCACATTGTTACGTTTGGCAGTAGTCACCTCTATTTTACATCACTGTGTCACAATTGTCCCCCACAAAGCTGTCATTAACAATAGTTTGAGCCGGGGAACTGTGGTTTTTGGTACAGGATTGGTTAGTGTGCCAAACACGCGCTCCATATGGCTTAATCTAGCAAGCTCAATTTGTTTTTTTTGAATGATTATGATTCTGGTAATATGAAAAAAACTATTGGTGGCTCGGTTGAGTTTGTTGATCAGGCGGTTGTTGAACTGTTTGCTGAGCTTGGCAAGTGACGTACAAACGTTTCGTCGCCATACGAGGAGACATCATCGGCGTGCAGTTGGGTTGCGCATGAGGATGAAGTCTCCTCGGCTGGTGACGCAACGTTTTCAAGTCACTTGCNGCGAACCGGCTCGGCGGACCGATCAACAGCTACCCGATCAATAACCAATACTTCTGATTCTGCTTAATCACTAATTACTTGTTTACACACTACTTCGCTACGAACAACCGGAATCTCGCTAATGTCAGCTAGGCTCGGATGGCACTGGAAATCAAACGTGTTAACCTGATTAGTCGAAAGGGCCGTTCCTCAAGGTAACCGTATGGACGCGGTCTTTTACGCTTGACGTAATTCGTTTCGAAGCCAAAATTAAAACAGCTTTACCTACACCTTGCACATCTATAAAACTTTCCCTTCTATCACCGCATAAATTTTGATCGAGGAGCTATCCAAGCATTGAAACCGTTCAGCAAACTCAAATGGGGAACCAATACACATGGTTCTCAAGTACCAATTATTATCGTCCGCACTGTTCAAGCCCCTTAGTATTTCCCCAGGTGTGAGTTTAATATGGGGTCAAGGGAAAAGGGTATGTTTGAAACTAAAAACCAGGTGTAAATCTAGTGATCCATTATCCTACGAAATAAAAATATCCGCGGAACTACAAAACCCCCAATGGTGTTTGGCCGAAACACTTGTGGTGCGGTTGGAGCATCTGACATAAACAGCGTGCTCGGATGTAATCCTAACCGAAAGTCTGCTCAAACCAGGCGATCTCTCCTCATTGAAACAACAACTAGCCGCGTCAAGATCCACACTTCAATCACTGGAGCAGTCGTATTGGTGCTTTCTCAACAACAAAGTCAGTCGCTGACAGCCTTCAAGATACCGTGGTTTCTTGGACCGGAAGTAATTTCAACCGCCCTGGTGAAAGACAACCTTTTTTTATAAAAGAGGATCGATCAGGTTGCCTATTTGTTGGTCAAACTGCTCGCTGAGATCAGCAGATTCGTTGAAAGTCTTTCCCCATCAGTCGGGGTGACGCCTACCTTACGTTAATGTGAAGCCCGTCGGAGCTCCGTGTGCTGGTGTGCCGCTTCTTTTTCTAACAAACTGTTGATGATGATACTATGTTCATTGATGAAATATCTACCAAAACACTGCCAAACTCGTCGGGCAATTTGATTATCATCGGTCACGTTATCCGTATAAAGAAGGGATATTCTAAAAATATGGAAGGCTATTCCGGATAGCACGCGCAGCACAATACTTAACCTGAAAGCGACCTACTCTAATTTTTTCCCCTGTACAACTCCTTCTTATTATGTGACACTCAAAGAAGCAAATATTTGCCTAAGTTAGCTACCAGTACCATGTCTGAATCAGTGGCTATAAACCTCATGATACTGGTTACTGAATGTTGATTCATGAAACCTTTACTGCTTAGCTGAACTTGAAGAGAATAGCTGATTTCAACTCCAACAAGTGATGTCTGTGATTAAACACAGAATCAATTAATGGTTACATACAGGCCGCCTCATGCGATATTCGAGATATCGCAGTATATTTTCATATTTCTCGAAAAACAGTCAGTCCAATTTGATTTCAAGTAGAACATAAGGTTGGCGGAAACTCGCGGTCTGCGCCTACCTGATGAGCCCCTAGAAGGGCGAAAACGGATCGTCGGATTTGGAAGGGTTTTCAGCAACCTTGTAAGTAGTTTCCTTTATGCGATATCTCGAATATCGTGTCAGTTGAAACACAAGGCGGCCTAGGTGCAGCACATTCAGTTGTAGAGATAAATTCGGTTGAGTCTCTCCTGAAAACCAAATTGAGCGGACTGCGCCTACCTGATGCTCCCCAATAACGGCAAAACCGGTCGTGTGCCGTCGAAAAGTTCTCAGCAACCTTGTGAGTAGTTTCCTTTATGACAATTTATGGTTAGTTTCATTGTTGAACAAACGCAAGGGAGAAATAAAGAAAATGTGTATTCAGCATCAATGATACACTCTGTTCGTGCTATATACATGTATACGGGTCGTTTTCTCCTAACTGTATGTACAAAACTTCGCTGGGTTTGTTTGACTTCCATATCAGCGTGAACAAAATCTGCCATGAATTAGACTCAGACAAGTTGACATTACGCAACTTCGGACAACTTGTGAACAAGGAAACAAAATTGAAAAATGACTTTGGTGGCAGGGAGAAAATTTAGCGGCTATTTCACAAAATTGTGCAAAATCAAGTGTAACCGTCAGGATATTGATATCACTGTCATCTCCACATATGTATCCGGGAGTCTGAAGACACCGGAATTCTGTTGGATGCGGTCGATAACACCCTCAGCGGTGCGATTGGTGGAGGAGGCAACTCAGTGTCATCAAACTGCGCGAAGTTGGATGAATTTTTGGTCTTTAATACCACGTCGGGTGGCTTGGTGATTGACCTATCCTGGTCATCCGATGTACTCTCCTGTATTTGGTTTGGACATTCAAAATCGCTCGAATGTCTAACCGGGGTTGTCCTAAAATTGGTTGGAGGCTCTAACAACGGTTCTGTCAAACTTTCCATCGATGGAGTTCGGTTCGTGGTTGAGGTCATGGCTCGCTCGTCTTCATCGGCGATCGGGGAATATCGGTTGCGTTGACTCTGCCTGCGAACCAAGCTGTACTGCGTTCCATTGTATTGAGCTTGTTTGGAAGGGTCTGGTGTCAGGGCTACAAAACGTGTGCTCATTTCATTCTCCTCGCCATGTTTGTCACTCCGTAGCGTTGAAGTCAGGCCGGGTTTGATATCTAGTGCCGTACGAAAACTTGGTCGACGAACTGGAGCGTTGGAACATTGCTTGCTAACGCCTGATACAGATGAATGAGCGCTTGCTATCGACTGTCCGTAGTCGGACTCTGGAACAGAGGATTTGTGAAGGTAGTGCTGGTATTCGGGCAAACAACACGAATTCATGATGGAATAGGCGGTTGAAGACTCCACAGGCATGGTCAAACCAGACTCCTGGGTATCAGGAAAAGCCTTTCCAAAGACTCGTGGACTATATTGAACTGGCACGGGAATTCCGGGATACGGTCCCGAATAGAACTGCTTGAAACTTTGAGGGTTGCACTGAACTGCTTCACTAGTCTCGCTCACTCCGCTTCCACCGTCACAACCTCGTCCGGAGGAACTTCCACCTGCCGATAGGCATTTCATAACCGGATTGCCGGAATAAAGGCTTGAATCGAAACGGTTGTTTCGAAGATCCGTCGATGCAATCGAACTGAGATTCATTGAAAAAGGTGCCCCGTATCCAATAGGAGTACCATTCAGCCCAACACCCGAGCTGCTACTGTTTGACTGGTTAATCGAATACTGATCCAAGATGAACGGGTTTGTGGTTTCGTTTGGGACATTCTCCGCTCGAATAGTCATCATATACTGCAACCATAAACGGACGATGAACATTATCAAGCGTTCTGACAAGTCACTTTCAAATTAACTAGTGCAATACAAAAATAAGAGAAATGCCCACGAACGGTGTCACAGAAATACTGCACAACTGCTTGTTGTACTCGAGAAATACACTCATTTGCAAATCAATTTGGTTCACACGAGAGACTCAACTGAATCTCTCGTTTATGGTATGATCAGAGCAACCTTGTGAGTAGTTTCCTTTATGAAAATATACTGCGATATTTCGGTTATCGTGCCAACTGAAACATGAGGCAGCCTTTGACAGCACATTCATTTGTAGAACATCATAAACGAGAGATTCAGTTGAGTCTCTCGTGAAAACCAAAATGATTTACAAATGAGTGTATTTGTCGAAAACAGTGCAATTTGGGTTCAAGTAGGACATAGAGTTGACGTGAACTCGAGGACTGCGCCTACCTGATGAGCCCTAAGAAGGGTGAAACCGGTCGTGTGCTGTCGAAGGTTCTCGGCAACCTTGTGAGTAGTTTCCTTTCTGCTTGTTGTACTGTTCCTAAACTTTAAAGAGGATTTTTACATTCGGAAGTACTTGTGACCCTACTCTGTCCGAATAGTCACGTGACGCACTATCGGCTCTTCCAAAGTATGTGACGTAGAAATCGAGCGATCGAAGTCAGCATGCCCCGGGGTACAATCAGTATTGCTTATGGAGGCAAATACTGGGAAGATCCAAGGCAGGACATTCAACTTAATGACCCAGCAAACCACTGACTTCTTATTGCTCATTTTTATCAGTATATTCAGTATTCTCATTTCGATATAGACTTTTTGACAGTGCGTAGTCACCTTAATGAGAAATTTCCGCCGGCCATATTCATCAACTACAGCGCAGAAGCCCTGCTTATGATGCCAGACCTGACCACATATTTATCCCTGCTTTTCCCACGATTCAGTATCCCCCCGACGTTCATTATAGCCAGATTTTGTGTGGTGGAGTCACAATTGCCCAGGTAATTCCCAACCCTACTGAGAATGCGTGAGATAGAGGTACGGACACATGCAGGGGTCCTTCAGTTCCTAGCACATTTGTTGGTGTTGTACGCCATAACAACAAGGATCAGCGTTCTCGTGATGTACTTTTACGTCAAATGGCGGGTAAGTTTACTATTGGTTGATCTGTTTTCCTTGGCAGTCGGCAACCAGCAGTCAACAACACATTCGAGCTACACACATTTCGAGGTAAGTTGGCATTTCAACTCAAGAGTGCCTCACTGTTGGAACCACTTCAGGGTCAGTCAGTGGCATACTAACCTGCAGCATTAAAACCAGATACTACGGCCTTGGTGTATACTTGTTTTAATCAAAAGTACTTATTGATATTCTGACTAAGGATGACCATGAACGAACTTTTTTGTGAAATGCTAAATTGTCTCAACGTTTAGCATATTAACTATGGAAATGGGGCGCAATCTTACCTGTATATCTGGAGTGTTCGAGACGAAACCCTCTGCTGTCATCTGTGAGCCGTTCCCCGACAGTTGGGTGACAGGTAGAGACAAATTTGGTGTTGGGGTGGGATTGCAAAATGGACTGTGGTGACGGTGCAGATAGCTCTCCTGCATGTTCGAAAACGGCGCGCTTGGCTGCAGGTCATTTTCCGCACAAGAAAGTTCCACTGGTGAGCATTGTGGCCTTGTCTCGTCCTGAAGCAGACAGCTATGACAATGACGGTTCAGTTCAGCCCAGTGGTGGTCGTGTGGACAACTCACTGAATGCTTGTGCCATGTGGAATTACAACTTGAAGAACAGGTGCGATTGCCCGGCGATTTCTGATGCCTCTTTGGGTCATCATGCGATTGCTTTAGTCGCTGAGTAGGAATGCGATGGTTTTGACAAAATGCAATCAAACTAATCAACCCTAACAGAAGTATTGCAGCACCAACTCCGAGACCGATAAACAGGGGTTGGAAAATATTCTTCGCGGAGCCGAGTTTGACTGCACTTGTCAACTGCTGTGGATTTGAATCGCGTGCGTTTGGTTCAGCCGCTGGAGTTTTACGGACATCTGGAAGAGAGAGAGAAACTTTCACTTGGCGCACACAACAGAGCCAGCAACTACTTACTACACATCAGTAGTCAGTGTAGAACGCAGTCCTTACATCACGGGATCAGACTGATATAACACTTGTTAGTGCTCTAGTTGTGACGTAACTAAGGTAACAAACACTAAACAATGTCTTGTGATGAATACAATAGTTAGGTCGACTTGAAAGTGGAATAAGCCAAAAATTGACTTATCGTTTGAGGACACTTGTTGAGAGTTTCTGAGTGAAGTTCCGGGAGCGGAACGTGTCTTTTCTGCAGTATAGCTTGCTACACGTTTCCGTAGTTGTCCACGGGGACTTGCGGAGCTCTGTTAACTTCATGTCTTGTGTGCGCGCGTGTGTGTTGGGGAGCCTAGTTGTATGCCTATTTATTATGTGCAGTGTGAAGAGAGGGGTGTCCCTTTGTGCTTGATTCTTGCACGAACATGAATACAACTTGACCTGATGTGTTGAATGAAGTTCCTAAGCCTGGCACGTTACGCAAGTGGTAGCCGCGTAAAGAAAAATGGTTGAGAATTTGTAGTGTACAAGTTGTCGGCTCAAGTTGTAAGTGGGACAGGAATTGTCACGTGTTTTGAGTGTTTGTGATTGGTGATCTGATGAGTGACCTCTACACACTATGTTGGCCAGGCGCCCTAGAAATCAAGTGTACGTTCCGTACCACGACAGCTAAGACCTGTCCACTAATTACGTCATCTAAACGGTGAGACAATGCTGTAGCCTGAAAAGCTGATGGATGCTAGCGGGAAAGTAGCATTTTTTTACCTAATTTCTTGGACACCCTGAAGCCCAGGACGACCATGTCAAAAGTACTGGCGAGTACTATCATTGCAGAGCTAGCCATATGTTCAACTTTGAACTTTTCATGTCATCAGGAGCAGTGCAAGCGCATTGCTCGTTATTACTGTAAAGTGGGGAACGTCCCCTGGGCGCACAACCTGATTGTTGTTTAGCGACAGCATGTCAGTCAACTTTTGGACTGGACGGAACTAGTGGGCGATGTCCACTCAGTCTTTCAATTAGAGATGTGACAACGCCTTAGGCAGACAAACGTAAAATAGCTCAAGATATATTCAGCTGTACACTTCCTTCTATTTTTGGAAACTGGCTAAAATTCTTCAGTCCTCCACGTGGTTATGCGGGACTACACAAGCATAGCGCACGAAAATCCGATACAGTCAAGTAGATCGCTTATGCAGACGCTGGTGTTTTCCATAGACTGTACAGACTAACGTTAGTACTTTCCATAAATGCGATGCTTCAATGCAATAGACTTTGGTCACCCGTGTGATCTAATCACGATCAACAAAATTCACTCAATCCTTCTACGTTGCGGTTGTATTGATCATCGATCGAGCAACATTTTGCACCAATAAGCGGTCCATTCGTAATTCAACCAACCAAACGCAAACAAAAGTAGGTACGTCCCATTTAGTGGTTGATTACTCCTCAGTATCACAAGTTTTAAGTCGTCGAGAAAATTTGAGAACAGGTTGGTTTAATGGCGCTTGGTCCACCGTATATTTCGGAGACAAACACGCCATGAAAATCCGAAGAGAGGTAAAATTTTCTGCTTGAGTAGCTCACTCACACTTTCACTCATATCATACTTGATTATACCCACTAGAATCCCACTGGCCTGCAAAACTCATAATTACCCGAATGATTCATGGGTAGATGACTTGGGAGAGTCTTACCTTGGCTCATTTCCTCATCATCTTCTGCGGTGTCTGGTTTATGGTTCGTTTGGTCATTCATTTTGTATCGGCTGTGTCTAGTCTCTTCTGGGTTGGTCAGTAACTTGTTGGAAATGGCACCTAAGGAGAGAACAGGAAGAGTTGCAATAGAGAAAGGTATAGGTGTTCAAAATACTGGTTTGACTGAACACTAGCTTTCAGCAGGGAGTTACGAGAGAAGAACTCTCACTGGGAAACTGTTTATCTGCTATTTGGCTGTCAAAGCGTCTACATCAACCTTTGAGCAGTTTTCTTCATAAAACATCCATTCGTCTGCTTTATATTAACTATGCTTTAAGGCAGCTTTACTTGAAAGAAGCTCTCATGGAAAGGAACGTTTACCTGTAGACATTTGATCAATAACGCCCCGGACCGATTCTCAAACAAAGAACGTTATTTAACCTGGAATATAGATTGGTGATTCTTGTTTGTTGGTATTTGAGCGACTGTTGGCAAGCAAGGAAGAGTAGGCTCATGTGAAAGCATACCAGATGAACGAAGCCACTAAGTTTTGCCCCACCTCACTGCGTAAGATCTCAATGTGTGTGACCACTGTGGAAGTAGAAACCAGAAGCCACAAGGGGAGTGACACAGATACCGTCATTAGGGGAAACGATGCACAGGTACTCAACTGCAGCACTCAGCCAACTAACAGAGTTGCACAGTTCCGCCCCCCAGATGATAAAGACTGATTAATTTTACAGGTGAATGTGAGTTTCTTTCACTGTTTTACCTCACTAAACTAACAGAAAAATCTAATTCCCCCAGTAATTCAGCCAGTTTACGGATAACGTAAGAAGCCAGTTCACACAGGTAACTGTGAGAACAGAATAGCAATGCAATCGGTCTATGTGTAAACTAGTTGCAGATAACTGGCTAATGTGCACAAGGGAACGGAATATCTTTATATCTTCAACTACTCATCAATAAACGGCTTCAATTTACATTATGAAATCATTAACTAACCATTTATTGAAAAGGATAATGTTGGAGGTGTTTAGGTCCCATGTATCTCATGAGTCTTATATAAACAATAATTGGAGATCACATAAAAAATAACCAGAAAGGATGCAAACGTAGGGTATAAAAGGTGTTGGGATGATTGCTTTTGCACTTTCGGACTCCAGTTTCGTAGACCACTTACGGTGTTGGAGCAAGACAAAGTCAGTGACACAATACGTCTCCGAATGCAGACTACTTACCCTTGGGTAGCCTTTGTGTTTTGCTGCGTTTCTTTGGTTCCGAGAGTTGCACGGATTGTTTGTTCATCACAATCCATTCTGGTGGAACTAGAGTCATGTAAGCATAGACAACAGTTGTGACATCAAAAATGCGGCTGTAGCGGTAAAAAGCCGGTTTCATTATGCTATATCTGTGTCAGTAGGCCTACATTTTTTTGCACTCGGAGTGTACACTAGCAGGGATAAAATCCCAAATGTCAAACGGATCTAAACAGGCAATCCAAGTGGTGATCGTGGTCACATCTAAGTTCCGGTGAAGAAAAATCAAATTTATATTTGTAATGCACTACTCATAAGCTAGCTGAAAACTCTTCGACAGCCCACGACCGGTTGCGCCCTTCTTGGGGCTCATCATGTAGGCGCAGCCCCTGAGTTTCCGTCAACCTCATGTTCTACTTGAATCACTTTTATCCTGTGGTATCAACCGCCTTACAGAATTTCCGGAGCCTTCTAAATGCTGTGTCTTACCACTGGCAGAAACTAACTTGACTGCGCCGAGGGATTTGCGCATCAAGGATTCTATGGTTGCTGAAGTTATAATAATGAATGGCGCTTTTAAAGTGAATAACGACTGTCCTAATCACTGGGCCTCTTCACAAAAAGCTACGATACCTGGTAAGGCAAACAACCTGAGGGTTATCACGCGTCGCCATCATTTTTTGATTTTTTTTTGGTCTGTACGCTTATCCAGGTCACTTAATCCCACAATCGATCAAGTAATCACACGTGTTCACCAAAATGCCTTTCTGCATTACGGCGGCATTTCTGTGCAATTATTCTCAATCGTTCCATACCAAAGTAATATAAGGACTTAGTATTTGTATGTTAGAGATCAGGACAAATGAAATATCGATGAGGTATCAGATGGTTCTGTTCCGCAATTTACCGGTTGGCGCTGATCGGCAAAGTCAGACGAAAGTTCGGTCGCATTTGTCTGACTCCATTCAACTTCAAGGCGATGACAGAGTTTCGATATTTTGTTACTAGAATTTCGACCTGGACGAATCACGAGCCAGTCAACACGTGATGCAGTCAAGGACGAGCGGTACTCTATTCTGCCTAAAAACGATTTAATCACGAAACTGACCAACAGCTCTTGGTCGAATGGTGAAGTGTTCAACTGTTCAAGTTGGGAGGTGTCGGGTTCTAATCTTTCTCGGGTTTCTTGAGAGGCTCACTGCTGGTAATGTCCACCAAAGGATGAAATGACCTTGGGTTTCAGCACAGAAAAATTCAACCGAAGGATAAAATCTCAGCTGAAGACGAGGTATCGCTGGACTTGGAAAAATCGCGGATAATTTTGGTGTCGGCCCTCAAGCTTCTCGGAAAGTCTAACTTTAGTTGGTATGCACAATCTTGGTATCTAACTCGCTGCGCTGTGTAATTGCACACTTCTAACTTCGTTTCTGACCAGACTTCACCTTTTAGAATAAAGTAACTGGCTGCCTTGTTCTTACTAAGCTTATGCAATACACAGGGTGAGATGGCCCAATTGGTTAGAGCGCGAATTTACTGACCTCTGCCACTCTACTTCCCCTGTCTAGGCTTGGGCGACCTGGCAGTATCCCAGCCCTCGTGCTTCCTCCGGGTGGCATGGCATGGCAGCACCAGAAAGGTGACACAGCTGAACGATTATTATTATATCCAATACATAGAATGAACTACAGAGTTTACAACACAGTGAGAAATACCTCGGAGGAGAGGAAACGATATTTGTTAGTTTTAAACTTCTGAAAGTTGACTGTACTTAAAACAAAAGTCTGGATTCTGAAATGAAGGCCTTCGCTAGCCACAACATCCGAAACTACGCAGAAATGTGTCTCGACATGTGTGGCGCATCTGGAAAAAATGAGATCAGCTCATCAGTAGGCGCAGTCCCCGATATCCATCAACCTTACGTTCTACTTCAACCCAACTTCCACCAAATTAGCAAAAATTCTCATATGGAAAAGACATAAAGAGGAGATTCACCTGGAACCCAGATGAATCTCCCGCAAAATCTCAAATGAGTGTATTTTGCTAAATATGGCATTTTTTATCTCGAATAATTTTTTTCAAAATGTCCAGCTGACGTGACTGACGCATGTGGAGGGAGGCGAACGTCGTCAGAAGTTTAGTCCATAAATTGTACCATTTTGTGGCTCATCTACCATCGTTTACGCTAGGTAGACTTGCCCTTACTGGTATAATATTTTTGGATCAATAATTAAGGAAGGAGTTCCAAGGTCCCTAAGTTCTTCAGGCACAGTTGCATCTAGATACGCCCGTGGGTTACTCAAACCCCACTAACAATTTCTCGGCCTTGTAAAGGTTGTAAGAACCCCTAGATAGAACCAACTTGGTATCACTCATCAAAATCATCCCTGGAAATTCGGTTGAATAACTGCAAGCTCACCACAAACGTAGGTAAGACTAAGATGCATCTTCCCGCATGTTCCTGGCTGCCTTCCGTTTGCTCCAACCGTGTTTGGACTGATGGAGCAAGAAGATTGTCCGTTGCATGCAAGCTGCAGTGATTCGGCCACATCAAACGACGTTTGACACTTGATGTCTGAAAGTGGAAGTAACTGGTAACAATGACCTTTTTGCTGGCATGACTAAACAGCTTAGACAACAAAGAACTTTGTTCTCATACATAATGTTCGAGCGTCGCTTTTAGAAGATGCTTCCTCAACAGGTGCAAGATAAGGTTGTCGGTATGAACCCGTGTTTCAGGTATTACTCATTGTAATTGATGAACAAAAGAACTGCTCTAAAAGCAGCTGAATCTGATATGCAAAAATGCCACGGCTGAGGAAAACACTTGTCGCAACATGCTGGTGTAACTATTTGATATCTTCATTAGACAGCCAGCGTGAACGGTTAGTTGTCCACCCCCCACTGCTTTCAGCTAACAGAGTGACTGGGCGACCTACTGCAATGTGCCCTTGTTGTTCAGAGCGATAGTAACCAATTATACAAACACAAAAACTTGAAATGTGCAGAACTTCGGCTATTAACGATCTGATGACCAACAGCCCGCGAAACTGGGTTGGCATGAACACAGTCATTGTTAGCAATACATTGTATATGGGGAAGGGTTCCTGATTGCCATGTGTCGTCTCCGTTGGATTTCTGTTAGATCAGCCAGTGAAACGTCGAACTCTTGGACTGGTAGTTTGAGCTCTAAACGTTGAGGCGATAAAATTGGGTTTGCCGATACTCTGCCTCCGGCAGTACCGAAGAGTAGCGGTGTGGTGGTGATACTACCGACGGGGAGGCATTCAAATAGTGAGGTTTCCTCTTGTAAATTCGCTTTGCATCTCTTGAAAAGAGTGGTCTATTGCGGAATTTGTGGAGTCACTTTGTAGCATTTGCTTGGATTTGAGCAGCAGTCAATGAATATCCAGGAAACTTCAGGAAGACGCGTTTAAGAGAAGACCGATGTTCAGTTTGTGTAAATGAGAAGCATATGACAGTTTAGCTTCCCTGTCCAACAGTCTGTAGCTGGTCATTTGGCATTTTCTAGTAAATAACTCCGCAGCGGAGGCCTTTATCCTTTCACCGGTATTTTAAGTTTGCTTACGGTCTGAATGAAACTTCAAGACCAAATTCCATACACAACAAAAAATTAACGCATTTCCTAAACAGTTTTCTGGAAATAGTTCAAGACGCAGCTTGCAAAACGCATTCTCTAAGAATGAGGAAAGTCAACATAGTCTTATGGTTCTTTATTCTTTTTTGAGGGGGGACTACAACCGTGGAACTTTAGACAGATAACAGTATTGACCCAAGCTGTCATGTAATCCTAATGCAGTTGACGGGTACTCATCGACAACTCTTCTGAGGTTTACTACTGTTTAACTTCAAGGCAACCACAACTTCATCCCTTGTATGTTGTCCAACATTTTTAAAGTTTGAGTACTTGTTTACAGCTCAACTTGCACCGGTGGTCATATCATCCGATTTCGCAGAGAACAGAACGACAACAGGGAGAAGTTAGGGTTATCCACACGCCGAAGAACCTACTTCAGAATTAATTTATCACTTACTTATCAAACCTAATAACATTTAGATTAAATGAACAATGAATATGTTGGATTTCAATCATTGTTTTGTTGGTCGCTGAAACACCACGTGGTCAGGAGTTCAGGCTGACCACGCCCGATGCAATGACCCACGTTGGGAGATGAGTCAGGTGATGCCTATTCTTACTGCATTTTGATAGTGAAACTTAAGATATCTATGATAAAAACCGCAGTGACCCATGGTGACCTTTATGTCTAAACGTATTTGAAAACAGTTTAAAAGTAGTTAAGAACAAGCCATCTTTACGGCGAACGCCATCAACAACTTGGAGACTCGTCCCTGCTTGTGATTACTTTGTCAAGTGCAAAGGGGTATGTTTTAACCACACTCCCGAAACATCGGAGAAGTTACAACCTCCACTGTAATCAGAGGTGGAATTCAATCTTTGACATTAGCTTATGTACAAACATCCTTACGATAGCTACCATCAATGGTTATTGTTAGAACAAGCCAAGATGCTGCAAACTGCCTTAAGAATAGTACGGAATCTCAGTTTGGCTGTCTACACAACCACACTACCGTCGTACTTGGTGTAACATCAACTATGCGGTTTTATACTAGTGTAACGGTGGGTACTACTGATGAGGCATGCGGGTAGCATGTTTTCCCATAAATCCTCTTCGCGTCTTTTGAAAAGTGAGATCTATTACGAAACTTGTGGAGTCGCATTTGTTTGCATTTCAGTAACAATCAATGAATATCCAGGAAGGCTCAGGAAGATGCGTTCAAGGAGAAGATGGGTATTCAGTTTATTGTAAATAAGATGCAAATGAGAGTTTTGCAACCCTGTCCGATAGTCTGTAACTGCTCAGACGGTGTTTTCCAATAAATAACTGCAATGTGAAGCCCTTCTTCCTGTCTTCAAACCGAGAGTTAGCGAAATTCGCACCAAAAAGCGAGGATAAAAGCCGGCGTCAAATAATGCCAGGGGACGGGTCATCCTGAATACTACACGATCCTTTTTGAGCTCCGTCCAACCATCTACAATCCAAGTTAGGTCTCTCTCTCTCT